CTGTTAATGTTAGCTTTATATATTTAGATGTTCCTATGTTGGGTACATAAATATTTACAACTTTATACCCTCTTGTTGGATTGACCCCTTTACTTTATGATTATATAACAACCTTCTTTGTCTCTTATTACAGTCTTTGTCATATATAAGTATAGTATTCTTGCTTTCTTTGGGTTTTTATTTGCATGAAATATCTTTTTTCATTTCTTTACTTTTAGTCTGTGTGTGTCCTTACAGCTAAAGTGAGTCTTTTGTAGTCAGGATATAGTTGGGTCTTGTGTTTTTAATCTATTCCTCCATTCTATGTCTTTTCATTGGAGAATTTAGTCCATTTACATTTAAAGAATTATTGATACATATGGACTTTTGTTAATTATTTCCTGGCCATTTTGTAATTCCTTTGTTCCTTTCTTCTTGTCTTCTTCTCTTCCTTTGTGATATGATAATTTTCTGTAATGTTATGCTTTGATTCCTTTCTCTTTATCTTTTGTGTATCTATTATAGGTTTTTACTTTGTGGTTACTATGAGGCTTATATAAAACATTTTATATATGTAACAGTCGGTTTTAAGCTGATCACAACTTAAGTGTGAAGGCACACTAAAGCTCTATGTTTTTATTCTCCCACTTTCCCCACATTTTATGTGTTTGATATCACAATTTGCATCTTTTTACCTTTTTTATCCATTAAAAATTTGCATAGTTATAGTTATTTTTAGCACTTATGTCTTTTAATCTTCGTACTAGATTTATAAGTGATTTACCCACCACAATTAAAGATTAGAATATTATGTATTTAACTATATATTTACCCTTGCCAGTGAATTTACACTTTCATATGTTTTCCTGTTACTAATTAGTGTTCTTTCATTTCAGCTTGAAGAATTCCCTTTAATATTTCTTTTAAGGCTGGTCTAGCGTTGATGAACTTCTTCATCTTTAGCTTGTCTGGAAAGCTCTTATCTCTCCTTCACTTCTGAAGAATAACTTTAGTAGAGTATTCTTTGTTGGCAACTTTTCCTTGTAACACTTTGAATACATCATCCCACTCTCTCATGGCCTACAAAGTTTCTGCTGCAAAATCTGCTTTTGGTCTTATGGAGGTTTCCTCCTCATAACGAGTTGTTTTTCTCTTGCTACTTTTAAGATTCTTTCCTTGTCTTTAACTTTTGACAGTTTAATTATAATATGTCTCGGGGTGGGTCTCTTTGGATTCATCTTATTTGGAATTATCTAGGATTCCTGGATCTGAATGACTGTTTCTTTCCCTATGTTAGGGAAGTTTTCAGATATCATTTCTTTGAATAAGATTTCTCCCCCTTTCTCTCTTTTCCTCTGGGACCCCCATAATGCAAATATTGATCCATATGATGGTGTCCTGTATGTCCTTTAAGCTATCTTCATTGTTTTTTTTCTTTTTACTCTTCTGATTAGATGAATTCCACTTCCCTGGCTTTGAGTTCTCTGATCCTTTCTTCTGCTTGATTAGTCTACTGTTGAATCTTTCTATTGAATTTTTCCGTCCATTTATTGTACTCTTTAACTCTATGATTTCTGTTTGGTACTCTCTTATATTTTCTCTTTTTATTGAAAATTCTCACTTTACTCATGGGTTGTTCTCCTGACCTTGATGAGCAAATTTATAACTATTATTTTGAACTCTTTATCAGTAAATCACTTATCTCTGTTTCATTAAGGCTGTTTCTGGAGTTTTATCTTATTTGTTTGAAATGTATTGTTTTGTCTTCTCATTTTGCTTGACTCTGTGTTTGTTTCTGTGCATTAGATAAACAGCCAGCTCTCCTGTTCTTGATGGAATGGTCTCATATAGGAGATGAACCTTGTCATTCAGGCTGGCCCTAGCTCTTGTTTGTCTCTCAAACCTTTTTGATTGTCCAAGTCTCCTTCTTTGTTCTTAGTGGTTCCCAGTAGTTCAGTGTGTGCCAAAACCTGTCAGTGTCCCAAAGGAGAGTATTCCAGTCAGCATCTAGATACAGGCTAATCGGAAGCCATACTTTTGAAGTATGCAAATAAACCTCTTTCAGGGAAAGACTAGGTGATGGGTGTTTCTACCTACTCCATCTGTGCTGAGCCCAGGAGGGACAGCCAGTTAAGAAGTGTTTCTTTGTTTGCTACAGTCCTGGGGAACCCATGAATGCAAGCCCTGCTGGCCACCCAAGCCAAGTCATCAAGGGATGCATCCCCTGGTGGCAGCTTCAAAAGCCAGAGTGCCAGATGTGTGCACAAGCTCTTTTCAGGGACACATTGCTGATCTGGAGCAAGGTAGAGGGAGAATGTGAAGATGGCATCTGCCTGCCTCCCTAGTTTCCAGAGAGGACTGCAGTTGGTCTCTAGATGTGTGTTAAATTAGAAGTCTGCCCCTCAGGTTGCAGCTTTTAAGATATGCAAAGCTTTTGAGATAGCTTTTAAGATATTTCAGGAAAAGACTGGGAGATGGGCATTTTTGCCTTGCTGCCTCTGCACTGAGCCCTGGGGTAAGAGCCACAGTGAGTCCTCACAAGCCCATTAAGAAATTTTCTTTGTTTGCTATATAGTGTGTGGTTCTTGTGGACACAAGACCCATTGGCTTACAGGGCTAGGTATTTTGGGGGCCCATCCCTCAGGTGAAAGTCTTAAAAGTTAGGGCACTAGATGTTGGTCCAAACCCTTTTCTCCTCAGAGAGAAGCTGGGAGCTATGAGTTCCCTCACAATTGTATGTCACTGTGATGGGGTAGGGTTTATGGCAGATGTGTCTCAGCCTTTCTTACCCAATTTGATGTGGATTTTTTCTCACTTGCCTAGTGTGTAGGAATCACTCAGCTAGTTTCTAGATTTTTTCAGAGAGAATTGTTCTGTGTATAGCCATAGACTTGGTGTGCACGTGGGAGGAGTGAGTTCTAGAGCGCCATCTTGGACTGGAACCCAATAAGGCTCATACTCAATGTTTTTAACATAGGATTAATTCCCCCTCTACCTGCCTCTAGGCTTGTCAAGATAATGAAATGAGATATGTAGGTGTAAAGCACTTTGAAAGGAATGGGGCCTTGTATAAATATAAATGAAGATTGCTTTGACATGCCTGAATAGGAGCAAATTCCAGACTGGACAGGAAGAGTATACAGTATGACTCTTCTCTTCTCACTGCATCCAAGGCATATACAAATCTCTCTCTTGCTTATGAAGCTGAAAATAAAGCCGATTTAGTCTAAGCATTCTACCGTGGACCAGGTGTTTTAGAAGTCCCAATATTTGTTGCCAGGTTCTTTTTGAAAGAAATAGCAAGGTGGCTGGCTTATATTCCAGTTGTTCGAGCTGCCAAATGACTCTTAAAAAACAAAACAAAACAACTTTCTCCAGTAGCACATAGAGAAGTGCCTTTCTCCTCCCTCCCCATTCTTTCATTTTAATCTTTTGTAATGTGTAGTTTCCAGATTACAAAAATGTAAACAAAACATGTCTCTTCTGTAGTTACTATTATCTAGCGCAAATTGGAAAAAGAAACCATAATGCTTCTTAATCTTCTTTAAAAATTCCTTTTTATAAATAATTTATTTCCAAATATTGGTGTTCCTTGCATGATTTGCATGGGGTAGAGTGGAATAGAAATAGGATTCATATCGACCTATTGTAGATAATGCTTTTTTCCTGAGGTACAGCATAATCACAGTAGGCAGTTTCCCAGGATTTTTGTGATCACTATGCTGGGGATAAAACTCTGCAAAGATACCTTTGGCATTGGGGAAGAAATGGTTGCTACATTTTGGAGAAAAATATCTCAAAGAAATAAAGGGATATCAAAGGTGTTTCTTTTTCCTCTTTATTTCTAAGAAATGTATTTCCCCAGGCATATAGACGAAGATCAAATTGAATTGTATTTTTATCATAATATAAATTGTGGAAACAACTGGGAAATATAACTTTTAAATATTAAATGGAATTTGACTCTTTTGAATATGTAGATTTGAAAATTTAACATCACATTTTCCTTGTAAATTCTATCTTTTATGTGTCCTGTACTGTCTCAAGTTAGTGTGCTAATTTCCCTTGTGTAGTTTCACAAGATAATATTTTCATTCACTAACAACATTTCATATGCATTAATAACATCGACACAGCCACATTTCCCTGTGTGCCACCTTCAGGGTTATATGAGATGCAGGGACATTTATTAAGCCCAGGTAAATATTAAATATCACTTGAGAGAGCAGGAGAGTAACAATGGCATTTGCTGTCAGCCCTAAGTTCCTTTGAGATGTATATGAATACATAGGACTTGTTCAGTCTATTAAGCAGATGCTAGTTCAGCTGTAGTGAATATGTTGGTTTTCAAACATAGTTTTGGAGTGCTATGGTGGGTGGATATGCATGTATGAAAAATTCCAGGTATGAGTTTTGAGGTTGCCATTTAAAATTTTATTTTATTAAATTTAATTCAAATCTTGGCCTCAAAAATGAATAAATGGTATTAGTTTGATAAATTTTGGAAAAGTAATTAGGAATAGAGTAAAGCATTAAGGAAAATAGTACCTAAAATTTTAAGGAATTTTTAGATTAAATTATATTTTAAATGAAATAAATTGATCATTAATTTTGTCTGGAATTTTACTTAGTCCAATAACCATGTGTTGATTTTCACTTGTTCCTCTCTGCTATTTGTTTCATCATGAGACATTCCGAAACGTTTTATAAGGAAGTGTTTTAAAGGTTAACTATTGCAACTCATGTAATTAGGGAAGCTATTTCTTAACACTTGAGCTAAATAAAAGGAAGAAAATATTGTGTTTCTTTATACACTCTGAGACATGAAAAAGATACTGAAGTTTTTTTAATAGACAAATAAAATTAAAAAGAGGTTTAAATGAAAAAGATGTTTTATAAAAGTATTTTTTCCCCTGTGTTTTTGCCACTCTGGATGTATGAGTGTATAAAATAATGAAAAACAAACAAATAAGTAAAAACCCTTAATACTGAATGCCAGCTTTTTTTTCTTTTTCTTTCAGCTCTCAGGAGAAGTGATTTTGCAAATTGCCAACGAACCAGTCCTGCCCTTTAATGCTCTCGATATAGCTTTAGAAGTTCAAAACAACCTTAAAGGTAACTTTTCTTTGAATTATAGTAATTTTAGCAAATGAAAAATTATTGAACTAATTTTCAACAAGGAATGGGTAAAATTATCTACTACCTTACTAATATTGGCAATGCAACACCTCCCTTCCTATAGAGGATTATCAATAGAAAGGCTTAGAATTTCAGTTACCATGTCAACAGGAATGAGGCGAACTGATGTGTGAGCATCAGACTTTGAAGGATGTTCCCCCAACTTTCTTTTATCAAGGAGATTTATAAGTTCAAGCTTCTGTTATTTTATGCAGGTTCCATATAGAAAAGTATAGTCCAGGGATTTTTTTTTTTTTCAATGTTTGTACCTAACATTCAATCAGTTCAAACAAGACTGGCCCAGAAGTTCCTTCTTTAGGATTGGTTTCTATAAGGTATGGGACCCATCATATTTCACTGAAGTGTTGGCTCATCCAAGATCAAGGATGACAAGAAGGAAACCAGGGAATTATTTCCATAGTCTCTGTTGCATCATCTTCATGTTTGGATATATCACTTTTTGAAGAATTGTGACACCACTCTAATAATTACCTTCATGTCCCCTTTATCTACATACAAATTTTTCAATTAGGCTTCTAATTTGTCTTCATTAACCACATACAGAGGGAAGTATTGTATTTAAAGAATGCATCCTCCTCCTCCTCTTTGAGTCACACATCTTCCTATCAGATCTTTAACGAGTTGTTTGTAGACATGTGCTTCTCAATACAAATGTCAGTATTTTAACTATAGGACGTAAGCAGTAATCCTTGGAAAATGGGTCATTCTAAAGAGCCAAATATTTCCAATATCTGCAAGTTTAATGCTTTTGTTTTGACTAACTGGATTGCTTAACCCAGAGAATACTACAATATAGTTTTTTTTCCCCTTAATGATTCTTATGACTTTCATGATAGTGGCTGTAAAACCATGACCTTGGGAGCAATTGAGCTGTTTAGGGATATTTGCTCCTAAAATAAATGGACTCATATTGCTCTGCTTTTGGTGTATTTAAGACAGTCTCTATTTTTTCTACTTTTGTCAAGCTTCTATCTCACTGTTGTCAATCACTCTTTCTTCTAATTTGCTATTTCTAGAATATTTTGGGCATAGAAACTGAGTAACCAGGGATCAGCCCAGTCGCGCAGCAGTTAAGTTCACACGTTCCACTTTGGTGGCCTGGGGTTCGCCGGTTCGGATCACAGGTGTGGACATGGCACCGCTTGGCAAGCCATGCTGTGGTAGGCGTCCCACATAGAAAGCGGAGGAAGATGGGCATGGATGTTAGCTCAGGGCCAGTCTTCCTCAACAAAACGAGGAGGATTGGCAGCAGATGTTAGCTCAGGGCAAATCTTCCTCAAAAAAAAAAAAAAAAAAGAAAATGAGTAACCAAGTATATGCCATTTTACAAAATAAGAATGGATATAAGTCTTATACCTTATAAACAGGTATAAATAAGGACTGAAAAGTTCTGTGAATGCTAAACACTATCTTTTCTGCAACAATTTCTTTTAAGCATTTATTTTATTTGTTCTGTAGACTATTTTGCCTTTCTTTAGTCTTCATTTTTGTACTTTAGAAAATTCAGCTGGTACTGCATATTATACTTAAAGCTTTCAGAGAACAAAAAGAGGAGATTTTTCTTATATTACATAAAGACTTGTTCATCTACAAAGGAATACCTGGCATGCATAGGCAGGAGCCTCAAAGAGTAGACTGCCAAATACTAACGTTGCACGATAGAATTATAAATAATTTGCAAGCTGTTTTTCTGAGTCCAAATTTTCTACGATAAATGTGTATTTGTAATAAAGACATGAAGAGTTTTTAAAAAAAATTAGAGAAATAAATCCAGCAGCAAAAAATTTAACACTACTGTCATTTTAAATGGAAAGTTCTATTATTTTTTTAAAAATTGAGTTTATTTTTAAAAATTCATAAATAAACATTTTAGCATTATAATTACTATATGAGCATTTTGAGTAATGTGGCCTACTTCTGAAGGTCAATAAAAGTCTTAATGGGTCATTATTAGAATTAGATTATTACTATTTTTTTGTGGGGGTAGTTAGGGATCTCTTTCAAAATCTAAAGAAAAATGTAGGCTCTCTCCCCAGAAATTTACATTTGTACAAAAAGGTTTACATGTATTCCCCGTGAACTTTACATGATCTCCTGAAATTGTTTACTCATTCATTTAACAAATATTTATTGAGCATCCACTGTACAGTTGCTGGTACAGTTTTATAACCAAAAAAAACCCCCAGAAACAAAAGCAAAATCTCAACCGCTAAGTTAATAAAACAAAATTAAAATTCCTAAGAAACATGCATACATAGTAGAATACAACTGACATAAGTCAAAGCAATTTTTAAGTTAGCATTATGCTCAAATTATTCTCTAATATCAGTCAATTTGGAAGAAATGTGCATTCTCAAAGTAAGTGTTATGCAGAGCTGACTGTAGTTGTGTCCAGAGCATAGAGGAGAGAAGAGATCTTGTCAGGGAATATAAATTTGGGAGGTATCCCAGATAGAAGTATAAGGGATGGAAGATAGAAAGAAAAGAAAAGATCTAAGATTTCTGGGGAACTCCTACGTTTAGAAATTGAATGAATAGGTGGAATCAGAGAGTGAGGGGCCAAAGAGTAACAGAAAAACCAGGTGAATGTCATATCCTGAGGCCAAGGGAATAGAATCTTTCAAAGAGAAGGGAGTCATCAACTGTGTTAAGTACTGCTAATAGGTAAAGAAAAATGAGAACTGACCATCAATTATTGGATTTAGCAATTTGCAGATCATTGGTGATCTCAACAAAAACAGTTTTAGTGAAGTGGTATAAGAAAAAGCCTGATTCAAAAGAGATGGGTTTAGAGAAGTGATAAAATGGCCACACATGATGGTAGGTGGTGAGTATGGAGTAGACAAGGTTTAGCATTTTTGATTTTGATGAGAGCAATTCAATCGAGAGTCAAGATTGATCAGAGAGTGAAAGGAGAATTGCTGGACTTATTTTCTTGAGTAGAGGCATTGTAAGGGTGGAGGACTTTGCCTTATGAACATAGTAGTTCATCCATAAAAATGTGAAAGAAAGCAGAGCTTGTGGAATATGGGTAAATGTGGTGGTGGGAGCCCTTGGCAAGTCTCTTTAGAATGAAAAAACAGTAAAATAATTGTTTAGGAGGGTGGGAGAGCAAATGAACTATTAAAATGTGATCAATCTTTTGGGCAGCTGTAAGAGCTCTGGAGAAATATGTATTTTAGATGAGACAAATTCGATGTAATTGTGAATTTTTCCAGCCTTCAGCTGGGGATTCAGGCATAGAATAGGCAAAGTTGGATTTAAGGGTTAGTGCTATTCTGGGAGAAGGACATCGAACTAGATAGGATAAAGAACTTTGAGAATGTGTGCAAAGGAGGACTCATAGTGATGGACCAAAGTGTCTAAATCCAGTATGGCATAAAGTGAGGATATGAAGGGAATGAGGGTAAGCAAAAAGGAAGGGTCAATAGACTTTATTTCTTGGTAAGAGCAAAGAAGTGAGAATGAGTGAGCTAAAAATACTCATTCACTGGTGGCCAGCAAATGGGATTATTGAAAATGTGATCATACAGATGTGCAGATATTGGTAAAGACCAGGCTAGGGCATGACCATGGAAGTGTGGCAGGTGATCACTAGAGGAAAAGAAGCTAAGGAAAAGAGAGACTGGAATATGTAGATATTAAAATTGCCAAAAATAAGACGAGTCATTCTTGTAAGAGGGAAGGACTAAACCAGGACCTAAAATCTACAAAGAATGGACAGTGACCTAGAGATAAGTCCTATTGTTCTTCTAGGGCTGGTGGTACAAAGCACAGGGGTGAAGAAAAAACCACCACCTGGGAGGGTTGCAGTGGAAGAATGTCAGCAGGGGAGAGCCAGGTTTCAGTTAAAGCAAGAAGGTAAAGAAAATATTCCGAGAATACGCCAGGTTAATAATCCTTTCTTTAATAGCTATATCTAAAAGCATTTCAGTAAAGGGGGCGCAGTGGAAACTGCAGTTACTCTGCAAAGATTTCTACTTCAGGCCGGACACTACTGAGACTACACGAACCTCTCTCTAAAAGCCGAGAACCTCTCTCCATCCTCGGCTGGATGAGCCAGGAGTCTATGTCAGACTGCCTCTGCTATAGGTGAAGAACTTTTTCTTTGGTTGTTGGTTATATTTGAATTTTATTTCTTTTGATGTGAAAGTCCTTGGGGTCTCCCTGTCACTTTCACTCCAAAAGATGTGGCTAGATTTGAGGTGTCCTCATACTAAGAAAACAAAACAAAGCAAAAAACAGAGGCAAAAAAAAAATGTCTTTTACCATGACCTGGTTATAAGTATTTGATCAGAGTGATATGATTTATCAACTTTAACTGTTACATTTTTGTATTTTGGTCATCAGTATTCAAAATTATTTGATCATAGTCAAAGATTATTCAAACCTTTGCTAAATAGTAGCCAATTTGGTGTACCTGTTCTATTTTGACTACTTTGGTTATAGCTTTATTTCTAAAATAGAGTACTTTAATGTGCTAATGTGTGAATAATGGACACCACTTATCAACAACTAAATAAATATTTTAGTTGCAATTTTAGCTACAGTGCTGGATGATTTCATTAGCTAAACAGAGTTCCTGTACTGTGTTAAATGAAACATATAATTTTACTGCTTAATACGAGATTTAATTGTTGATATATTTCCTTATTTGTTATGACAGTCAGCAGTGATTAGTCCTAAGTTCTCAATTACAGTTAAAAACAAAAACAGTGACCTTCAAGGCTGAACTATAAAATACTGTTTCTCCCTACTGCAAAGAGTTTAAATATGAAGGTCTCTGAAACCCAATTGCATTTTCAATCGTGTAATTTCTACCCCTTGACAACCGGCCATCTTGTTTATTTATTACACTAGTTTACGGTAGCAGCAGACCATTCTCCACCATTCTCACAACCACGAGAAAGGATAAT